ATAGATCTCAGCTGACAGCAGCAGTGGGGCAGGTTCAAGCTGGGGAGGGCAGCAACAGCACTGTGGCTGCAACTTTAGGCGGTCCCGATAGAGAAATGAAAACCGTTCTCCTCCAGGAACATCCACCCCACAGTCCCCAGTCATCTCTCATCTCAGCCTCACATCTGAATTCTCAAGTGTGACTTCAGAATCTCACAGTAATCTGGGGCCTGAAATCCACAGACATTCAGATGACTCATCAGCCACTTTCTCATTGGACATGGCTCAACACCATAAACCGTGCTGACTAAGGCAATAAAAACCAGAATATAATTTCCTTTCTTCCAAGGCAAACAGAAAAGGAAAAATGATCCAAGGATAGCATTCCTTCACTGATTTACTCACTCTTCGTCATTCTCCTACAGAACTGATGGGCAACTGGCTCCCTGAAGCCTGAAGTCTCTCTGCAGAGTCCGGCATGCAGGAGGGCAGGGGCTCTGGAGGCAGACATGGTTTGAATCCTGGGTCTCCTGTCACAGCAAAGTGACACTGGGCAACTTCTGTCTGAGCTTCAGTTTGCTCATCAGTGAAATGGGGACAGTAATACTACCTATTCTATGAGGTTAGACTGTAGGGGTTCTCAACTGGGGGCCATTTTGCTTCCTTGGTGACATCCAGCAATGTCCAGAGACATTTATTGTTGTCACATTGGGTGGATGAGGGAGTGCTATGGGTATGTAGTAGACAGAGGCCAGGAAAGCTTTTAAACATCCTCCAATGCACAAGACAGCCCTGATGTGGTTTGGCTGTGGCCCCACCCAAATCTCATATTGAAACCAGGCACAGTGGCTCATGCCTGTAATTCCAGCACTTTGGGAGGTTGAGGCAGGTGGATCACTTGAGTTCAAGACCTGCCTGGCTGACATGACGAAACCCTATCTCTACTAAAAATATAAAAATTAGCCGGGTATGGTGGTGCACATCTATGGTCCCAGCTACTCAGAAGGCTGAGGCATGAGAATCACTTGAACCTAGGAGGAGGAGGATGCAGTGACCTGAGGTCACGCCACTGCACTCCAGCCTGGGTGACACAGGGAGATCCCATCTCAAAAAAGAAAAAAAAAATCTCATCTTGTAGCTCTCACAATTCCATGTTGTGTGAGGGACCCAGTGGGAGATACCTGAATCACTGGGGCAGTTTCTCCCATACTGTTGTCATTGTAGTGCGTAAGTCTCATGAAATCTGATGGTTTTGTAAGGGGTTTCCCCTTTCGCTTGGCTCTCATCATTCTCTCTTGTCTGCTGTCATGTAAGACATGCCTTTTGCCTTCTGCCATGATTGTGAGGCCTCCCCAGCCACGTGTAACTGTCACTCCATTACACCTCTTTCCTTTATAAATTACCCCATCTCAGCTATGTCTTTATCAGCAGCGTGAAAACGGACTAATACAAGCCCCCTCCCCCAACAGTGAATTATCCAACCCCAAATGTCTATGGTGCCAGGCTGAGAAACCCCGGCCTAGAGGGAACATTCAGTGAGGTTATGCACATGAAGTACTCTAAGTCTGTCGGGCTTACTTTTTGTAAAGTATCACAAAACAAGCTGCGATTCTTTTGGAATAGCACAGTCTTACGCTATTTCCAGAACTGAAATGGATGGGATGTGAAAACCGTTGAGTACTGAGAACCTAGTTCACTACTCCAGGTGTGAGTCATCCTGTAAATGTCAATTTCTTGTATTTAAAGCAGAGCTGAGGGTGCACAAGTGACTCAAGACCAGAAGCTTTCCCAGGTTGTCTTGACTTAGGCTGGGAGGAAGTAATCTTGTCCCAAAGCTCTCCTTCCAGAGGGTGCAAGCACTTCAAGACTCAGAGACACCACACTGCTCACTCTGGGTGGGTGTATTGTTTCTCACCTCACCCACACACAGTGGGGCTTGGAAAGACCTCAGAAAAGTAGCTGAAACTGAGACGCCTTGCCTATCCCGAATATCTTCCTTACTAGTGTTTAGTGGTTTGTTCCTCTCCTGCAACCTGATGTGACATTTCCTCTCCAGAGTTACAGTTGTTTGTTTGTTTGTTTGTTTTTTCGAGATGGAGCCTTGCTCTGTTGCCCAGGCTGGAGTGCAGTGGCAGAATCTCTGCTCACTGCAAGCTCCGCCTCCCGGCTTCACGCCATTCTCCTGCCTCAACCTCCCAAGTAGCTGGGACTACAGGCGCCCGCCACCACGCCTGGCTAATTTTTTTGTATTTTCAGTAGAGACAGGGTTTCACCGTGTTAGCCAGGATGGTCTCAATCTCCTGATCTCGTGATCCGCCTGCCTCAGCCTCCCAAAGCGCTGGGATTACAGGAGTGAGCCACCACCCCTGGCCAAACAGTTTTGAGTCAACACAGTTCACTCTCTCTGATTAATACACATTAGTGTTCAGGGATGAATTTAAAGACAGATCATCTTGATGGGGTAGGTGGGAGTGTACAGGGGACCCAGGACCAGAGGTGTCAAGAGAATCTGCGCAAAGTACAGAGGCACTGGGTGTTTTAAAGAAGGAATAGTGAAAGAGAGAGAAGGCAAAGGCAAGCCAGGGAGCGTCTCAGACTCTGGAGGTGTGCCCACATCTTTCCTGAGAAGTGCTGTGCCCAGAGGCAAACAGGTGGTGGGAAAGACAATAAGGGCATCCAAGTTTGCCGATACCAACCTGTACATCTGGCCAAGCTCTGCCTCTCCTTGAGTCACTGAAATGCAAAACCCTGGGGGTGGAAAGAGATTTGGGGGCCACCAGTTCAGCTTCTTTTTTGCCTGCCATCTCCCAGCTAGTCAGTGGCAGAGCCAGGGTGGGCACCAGAGACTGTTTGGCTCTAAAGCACAGACTCTGTGGGAGCCACAACCTCAAATGCTCCAGGCCCCAGACAGGTGACACAAGGTTAGATGGTTGAGTAAAAAACAGAGTGGCGGGAGCTGTAAGGAATCGTAGGCTCTGCTCTAAGGCATTCAAATTCAAATTTAAAAAAATATTGGGCCAGCCAAACAAAGCATATTTCTGGCCTGGGTGAGTGGATGAGGCCCTCAGGTTGTGAGTTTTTGACCACTGCCTAAATAAATGGTCTTCCCTATCCCCCAGCGGAGATGACTGTTTGGCACAGATATATCCAGAAAGAAGATTTCAGCTTTGGACTGTCTGCAAAGTAGATGGTGGTCTTTGCTCAACACTTTCAGAGATGGAGTGTTCCTTACTTTTCAAGACAGCCTTGGGTGGGGCCTGCCTATCCCCAGACTAGAGCCACTCACCACACCTATCATGGACCCTTCGTGGAAGTGAGATGCCTAGGGTAGGAGTACGTCTTTTATTTTGCAAATAAATCAAGTTTGGATTTTTTTTTTTAAAGACTGCCTCACTCTCACCCAGGCTAAAGTGCAGTGGCACGATCATGGCTCACTGTAACCTCAAACTTTCAGCCTCCCCTACAGCTGGGACTGCAGGTGCGAACTACCAAGCCCGGTTATTCTTTTATTTTTTGCAGAGACGAGGTCCCCGCTATATTGTCCAAGCCGTTCTCCAACTCCTGGCCTCAAGCGATCCTCCTGCCTTAGCCTCCCAAAGCGCTGGGAGTACAGGAGTGAGCCACCGTGCCTGGCCTGGAATTTATTACAAATAAAATACAAGTTCAGTGTGGAAACACTAGATAATACAGAGGAGCAAAAGTTAGAAAAAATGTCCATACCTTCCCTACTCCCCACCCCCGACCCCCATTCTGAAAGAAGCACTGTTGACACTTCAACGCATATTCTGAACTCCAGGTCCTTTCTTTGCATACATCAAGCTCTCATCCTCTTGCCGGCTCTGTGGTCTGCAAACTCGGCAAGCAGATGCTTTGCTCAGCGCTCATACCACGCCACGCACCCACATGCTCTCTTTGTACCTGGGTTTCAACCCACAGGTCGGGCCCCTGTAAGCCCTTTGCTCCCGAAGCTTCTCGAGGGCAGGCACTGTAACCTTTATTCATTCCAGGGATTCTACAGCACCAGACACACGATAAGAGCTCAGTAAAAACGTCTCTACCCCCACCACCTCCCGCCTCAGCCGCCACCGCCTGGCAGCAGAGAGGAAGCGGGACGCGCGCGACCCACGAAGGACAGCGCCTAGCTGTCGCCAAGGTAACCGAAGTCAGAGGCAGGGAGTGCCCACGCATGCGCACACTCGCCCTTCCTTCCAGTAACCTCGAGAAGAACGCAGCTGGTAAGACTGCCAGAAGCCGAGGGCGCATGTGTAGTTCCACCAACACCCTAGTCGCCTCCGCCTTCTGTCCGCCCGCCCAGCGATCTCCCCTCTACAAACATCGCCCGGAAATAGTGCCCATTTCTGGAAACCAGGCCTCGTTAACCAATCGTTGCTAGGGAGCGGGAAGACGGGCTTGCCGGGACGGCCGTCTCATTGGCTGGCTTGGGGAAATGGGCGGGGCCACAGGTCGCCGTGCGGCCAAAGAAGGGAGGTGCGAAGCGAGGCAAAGTTACAGCCGCCGGGGGAGGCGTGGCCCCGGGGGCGGTGGAGAAGGCGAGGGGGCGGAGCCCGGGACCGGGGCGGGGCGACCGCGGGCCGGGAGCTCAGCGGTCGGCGGCCGGCGGCGGGAGATCGCGGGCGAGCGGAGCGCAACACTCGCTTGGTTGGGGAGATCGGCGCTTGGCCGGTAGGTGACGGGGCGGGACCCTGGGGCCTGGAACGAGGCGCCCAGGGAGCGGCTGGGATGGATCCCCCCTCAGCCCCGGGCTGGCCTGCGGCCTGGCCCCTTGCCCCGGAACAGTGGGGTTGGCGGCCGGGCCAGCGCAGTCCGACGTACCTCGTCCAACCCACTCGCGGCGGTCCGCGGGCGCGCCCTCGCACGCGCTGCCGGCGCCGCGCTTGCCCCGGGCCTCCAGGCCGCGCACTCCTGCTGGCCACACGCTGGCTCCGAGCGCGCGCAGGGGCGCCCTGCTTCCCCCTCACCAGGGCCCCGCGCCGCCGCCAGGCCCGCCCGCCTGCTCTGCGCCCCAGTGCCCCCAGGATGAAGCTCGCCTGGCGTGGGGCGGACGTGTCTCCTGCAGGAGTGCGCCCTCGCATCTGCCCTGGCGTGAAACCCTCCTGGTCTTTCCTGGGGAGTTCTCAGGTCACACCTCAAGGCGGGGAGCACGAGCTAAGCCTGTCCTCAGCATGCAGCGGGGCAGTGCTGGCCGCCCGCAGCATCCCCCCTCCGCCCTCTGAACCCAGTCCTCCTCTGTAATTCTTCTAGGCTCTCCAACTCGGGACTTTATCTGTTGGTTCAGATGTAATATTCCCATCTTGGAAACCCATCGTGGCCCTGGCATCTTGCAACCACAGGGCACCAGGCAGACAGGGGCCACTTGTACAGTTTCCCACCTGCCCGGGAGCCTCCTTAATGCTGGCTAACTTCAGAAAAAGTGTTTCCTTCCTAGTCGAGGTTAAAAAGTTGCTCTCGGCCCTAAAGGGTAGACTGGAGGCATGAATGAGGCAGAGGATAAGTGGTGAAAGGTACATACATCGGCAAAGTAAATGGTAAAACTACTTTTGATCACTGGAGACAATGAACACCAATGACTTAACTAAGGACCCTAAAAGCACGTGAAATTAAATGGTTAGGGTAAGGTCATGGTATAAAATAGCAGTCTGGAGTTTATTCCAGGAAAAATGTTGAAAACCCCTTGACTACAAACATGGTCTTTCTGAAAGATTAGAAGGAGACAGTATCTTAACATTAGTGATGTGTTTTTTACTTAGTGTCTTCATACCTGTGAGCTCTGTTTTCCTTCAGATGGCTGTGTGGTAAGACAGATTGTAGTGTCCTGTTTTATAAGTGAGGCACCTGAGGCAGGTGTGTATGAGGGGAGTGGGAGTGGTGTGTATCTTGCCTGATGCCTCATAGCTGGGACTAAGGATGGGTCTTCCCCAGAATCCTAGATCAGGACCACATTATAGAACTGAGATGCAGACAGGAGGGAGAAGTTTTTGGTGTGGTTTTTATGCTGTCAGTGTGAGAGGACAGTTAAAAAGTGCTTGCCTTACTTCGCTTGTGTTTGGATTTATTCTTGGTGTTTTTTAAGTGATATCAATCAGTTCCTTTGGAGCGATGCCAGACCTCTGAATTTTTCAGACACCTTTCGGACATCCTCATTTATTTTGAAGGGTGTGGAGAACTTCTCAGAAGATCTCAAAATAAAAGTAATCATCTCTGACTCTAATTTTAGAGATAAGTACCCAGGTGTATGTACCAGCTCTTTGTGAAATCAGACAGCAAGACGCTGCCAAGCTTCAGGCCATCTTCTGAGTGTTTTCTGATTATAAGGAGCAGTTCTGAAGGGGGTTTTTTGTCACTGGTATTGTCTGTTAAGGGTTTGTGGGAGCGGCACCACAGAGACCCTGCCAAATCAGTCTCCCTCTATTAAACAAAAATGTCTGGTTGGGCCTTTTCGCCTCAACAGATGAAGGTTTGGTTCCTCATTTTGGTTCTCCTGTTGAACACTGACTCCTTTGTGATCTGCCTGGAATATGTGTATATCATTTACGGCTGAGAAGATGACTTGCGCTGGTTGGTTGTCCAGCCCTAGGCCACTGTTGTGATTTTTGTTTTGTTTTGTTTTGGTGATTGATAACAGCTCATCCCTGGCCAGGGTCTGGTGAGAGATCTGCGGAGATGTGAAAGAGATGAAAGCTTTATCCAAGGTTGTTGTCTTCGTTGTTGGCACCCTCTGAACAGTGTTGTATCACTTTGGCCTGTGAAGGCACTTTTAACTTCCTATTTTTTTTCCTGTCTCAATGGACAGCGCATGGGCTTTCCTAACAAGCCTGCCTGCCCCTGTGAAGAGCTGACAGATTCATATTGGTTGGTTTGACAGATGTGCTTTCTGGGGGGAAAGTTCAGAAATCTTAAAAGCAAAGTCAGTCCTAAGTAAAAAGTCTAAGTCAGCCCAATACGCATACAGGCAGCATATTTCTACTGATGGCTTCCATCATCTCAAGGTTGTTTTTTTTTTTTTCCTGGCAAAAGGTTAAAATGCAACTAAAATTCTGCTTTCGTGATTAATAAGTCACTACCGCAGTTGTGTCTGATGCTTCCTGTTTGCCCCATTTTAGTATTTCAGTTAAACTGGAAACATCTGAGCATTATGGGCACTGTTGATGGCACCAGTATGAAATTGGTGGGCCGGGGACAATTCCATGTCAGTGGATTTAGGGAGCTCTAAGGATGTCAGCCCCTCTAGTCTCCACACACCACGATTCCCTAGTAAGAGAACAGAATGGGGCTGAACATCTGCAAGAGCTGGGTGGGCATTCAAAGTGATGCATGTGTGAAGGTTTTGCATTTACTCTGTGGTGCTGGCTAAAATGCTGAAAGCAGTAGCCCAGAAAGGGAAGGCGAGACCCAGGGCAAATTGTAGGGGAACATTTCTGTTGAACTGAGCAGGACATCGAAGTATGAGATTTTTCGTTCTAGGCTTATGACTGCCTGAATGACAATGCAGAAAAAGTCATTTTTCTTCAGTGGCCGGTGTGCTCTTTGTGTTCTAAAGGAGCCTCTTCCCTTCTTGCTTTTCTACATCTCTTAATCCCTCAGCTCCCTGATAGAAATCCCTTGAAATTATGTGGCATCAAGAATAATTTTATAGCCAGTCTTTCTATTTTCACACAATGCTCATGTGAAGAAGGGCAGGGACAAAGATCAGAAAAGTGAAGCCTCATAAGGAGAAATAGACAGGATTGCTCAGAATCTAAACCCCCTTTTCCTGACATCTAGGTCACTGCTTTTTCTACTAACTTGCTCATGAAACGGTAAGAATTTTCCTCCCCCAAAACATGTCAGTTTTGAATATAATGAAACCAGGCTAGCAGCTTTATTTATTTATTGTACCAGTCAATTGTTAATTGATATTGATTGTTAATTAATAAAAGGCTAAAAGAGGAATAGCCTGCTGTCTGGACAGGTGTGCTTGTGTCCATTTTCCAGATGTAGAAACAAAGGCAGAGAACCCGTGATTTGTCCAGAGCAACAGAACAAGTCCTTGGTGTCTCCGTGTCACATGTGGTGGCTGAGGCTGTCAGGTCAGAGAGACCTGGGTCAGGTCGAGGTCTGCCACTGCCTGCCTGTGTGCCCACAGGCAAATCACTTCACTTCTCTAATCATCAGGTGCCTCATCTGTGAATGGAATCAGAAATACTTCACAGGAGTGTTTTGAGTAGAAAATGAGAGGACATATATAAAGTGCTGAGCCCAGTGCCCGGCACAGAATGTAGCGACCGTAACTGTTGCTGTTGTTGTTATTGTTGTTGTTGGTGGCAGTAGTAGTAGTAGTAATAGTAGCAGTGATGGTAGCAGTAGTAGTTGCCAATTAATGCATTGTGACTAAACCTGTTTTCTGTAAGATGATGTCAAGAAGAGTCAGACTGCCTGACAGGCCAGAGTCATTTTCTCAGTAGGACTTTTAGGGGGACAGTTCTTCAGTCTAAAAGCGTCAGCTGTCGTGTTCTCCCTGCCTTACACTATATACTGTCCTCACCATACTCCAAATAAGCCTACAAAGGTCCAGGCTCTGCCCAGTTGACAATCCTGACTCTGAGCTGGAGACACAGCTGGGCCTGTCTAGGGGCTTCCTGCGTCCCACATGTGATCAAGTAGGTTCCTGCATTAACCCTGGAGGTGAGGAAAGGAAAAATACTGTATGGCGTGTAGGTCAGCAAGGACTTGCTCTTTGTCTGGGGGACTAGGAGGGAACATTTGGTTTTGAGGAGTGAGGTTCCCACTACCACATGGCATCCCCAGCTCGCCGTCCTTTCCCTCTCATAAAGATGTCTTTGTCAGCTTCTCTCCAGGACTGTGTCTGGGAGCCCAGGATCTGCAGTCAGGGACTTGCAGATTTCCCTTTAAATCTCACGGGAAGCCTGGAATGGTGGTGTGTGTTTCTGTAGTCCCAGCTACTTGAGAGGCTGAGGCGGGAGGATCACTTGAGCCCAGGAGGTCAAGTAGCTATGGGCAACATAGCGAGACCCCATCTCTTAAAAGAAAAACATTTGTTTTAACCTCACAAGGGAAAAAAAAAAACAGTTTCATATTATATTTTAAAGTCTTTTTTCCCCTTAATACAAAACAAAAATATAGGCTCTCACCAGGCTGCCATTCCCTTTAAATAACATTTTGTTTTCTCTTGGGGAAGCTGACTTGATGGCCGAAGAGTCATTTCTAAAGTGAAGCTAGTTTTTAGAAAAAATAGATCACCGGATGTCAAGCCTCATGTGGAGCTGGGTTCAGATGAAAATGAAACCAGCAGGCCTGGCGTGGCAGCTCTGCACTTGACTTCAAGCTGGAGGTGAGAGGCAGAGTGTGCCTGGACCTTGCTCCATAACTGGTTGACCCCACAGAGTGCATTTGATAGGTGCCTTAGTCATTTTCCAAGCAGCTTTGCTTAGGTGAGCAGAGCACTTTCTCTGGAAGGTGAGTCACCCGTGCAGGGGTGTAGGTGACAGGCGATTTATTCCCCAGCACAGTTGCAGAGAAAGTCCTGAGCAGACCTTCGTGAGGAGCCCTCTGCCACAAATCACCCTCATCCCAGCCCCGGGCTTGGAGGCCAGGGGCAGGAGGCAAACAGGAGGCTTCTGGGGCCTGCGGGCTGACAGCGGAGGGGGGATCGTAGACAGGGCACAGAGCCCAGATCAGCAGTGTCACTGACTCCTGAGTCCAGCCACCTTGAGGATGGAAAATGGCCTGCTTCCAGTGACAGTCAGCAGAGAAGCAGGAGGGGAGCTTTGGCCCCAGGGAGCTGGGAAATCCCTTGGCAGAGAGCAGAGCGACAAACCCTATTTTGGTGTGAAAAACCTTTTAGGAACACTTTTCCACCTGCCTCCTTTACAACCACCTGAGTTGGAGGCTCTGCAGAGCTCCAGTGATTGGAAAGGTGAGATTAAACCCTGGATTTCAAGAAGCTTCAGGAATCCCAAGCCTGCCACCACCTCAGTTGTCTACACTTCTAGGACCAGGGTTTGGACCCAGAAAGCAGCAGCAGGGGGAACTCCTGAGCCATCCCTCCCTCCCAGTTTCTGGCTACTACAGCTTCTCCTGACCCTCTTTCCGCTAAAACCACTATCAGGTGACCATTAAGGCAGAGATTTTCTTCAGACACTGTTCTGGACTAGTGCAGTTGGTGTTGAACTTGACCGCTTATGGTCAGGGACATCTATAAGCAATGTCCAGGACCACGTACAAGGAGCGCTTGACTTTAATGAAGCTACAGCCGAGGAACGGTTATTCTCTTGCAAGTAATATTGTTCCCTATCTCTGGCAGACCACCAACCCAGCCCCTGTACCCATACTCCATAAATCTGGACCAACCAGCAGTCACTTCCTGCTGGCATGGCTAAATAACCTTAACCTCACTGTCCAGAAAGAGCTGTTAGGATTACAGCCTGGACATGATCATTCACATTTTTTGCAGTGAGAAAATGCAGGAGAGAAAATGGTGGCCCAAGAAAGCCAAGTGGGTTGCCCAAGGCCACACAGCTAGTTAATGGCAGAGCCTGAACTATAAAACCCAGACTCTTCACTGTGCTCTGCTGCCAGGGAATGAAGGAACTAATCCTGAAGCAGGATTTTTTTTTTTTTAAACTAGCTCCTCCTTTTATTCTCCTACCCCAACCCTATCACTCGTAGCCTTTCTGCAAGCTCTGCCAGGCCTGGGAAGGGTGGAGCTACAGCAGCTGCTGCCCTGGGTCTAAGAAAAAGTAAACAGAAAGCTATTTGTTGGACGCTCTCTTATACCATGAGGTTCATGTAATCAAAAGGAGGTCAAGGTTGATAAGAAAATACAATTACCAGGAAGTCTCAAAGGTTGCCCACACCTTTAGAGCACTTTCCTACCTAGCCAAGCAGTATCTCACCTAGAGTGGGTATTTAGTAACTATCAATGATTGATTACAGGGGTCCAAACTCACAGTGCATGAAGCTCTTCTGCATCTTTCTTCTGTGCAGGAGGTGCATGCATACTCTGCGTGTTATCCTAGCTGATCTGTCTGGCTCCTCTCAGTGAGAGGCTCTTCCTTATGGGTGAAGCATGATTTCATGATGTCATATCTGGATGGTGGCCCCTGTAAATGCAAAGAATTATTGTAGCCAAAATCCACCTTCTACTGACATTAATGTTTCCTTTTACTGGGCCAGAGTTAAAAGGTAGGTATTTCTGGTCGATACTAGGGATAGCCAGGAGGGTTGGGAGGAAAGGAGGCTTAGCCAGCCTCCAATGAGGATGTGGTTGCCAATTAAGATAAATGGAGGCCGGGCGCGGTGGCTCACACCTGTCATCCCAGCGCTTTGGGAGGCTGAGGCGAGCGGATCATGAGGTCAAGAGGTTGAGACCATCCTGGCCAACATGGTGAAACCCCGTCTCTACTAAAAATAGAAAAAAATTAGCTGGATATGGTGGCACGTGCCTGTAATCCCAGCTACTCAGGAGGCTGAGGTAGGAGAATCACTTGGACCTGGGAAGTGGAGGTTGCAGTGAGTCAAGATCCACCATTGCACTCCAGCCTAGGCGACAAGAGTGAAACTCTGTCTCAAAAAAAAAAAAGGTTACAAATTGAGTCCTTTGACCAAGGGAGTTGATTGAACCCACCAGGCTCCTTGAGTCCTGCCCAACAATCTCCACTGGCAGATGCTGTGCCTGAAGAGGCAGGAATAGCTTTGTACAGATCAATGTGAAGGACAGAGTCCTGCACCACCTCCCTCTAGCATGTATTAGATACACACAAATATATGCAAATCCGAGCCCAGATGGGTGTTGTCCAGTTCAGAAGGGTTATCTTCTCAAGCAGTAGAAGTAATTGGGTCTCTAAGTCAGCATTTAGCACAGGGGATGGCAGGAGTGGCTCCACAGCCAGCTTTCAGGACGCCTGCTTGCTGGGATGCAGTTAGAATACAGCCACCAAGCTGTGACTCCCTCCCTTCCAGCCTGCCAGGTGATTGGACAGTGTGGACACGTGTCCCTGTCCAGCCAGACTCCCAGAGCCTATGGCACTCATTTATTCCTCAGAAGTGTGTCTGTCCTTTCACTCAGGAACACTTGCCAAGTGTGTCAAATGGGCCACATCTACTAGGTGCTAGAAAACCAAACACAATTGAGGCACCGCCCTGGAGGACCTCACCATGACAGGGGGAAGCTGGGCACGAAGGCAGACACCTCACAGGTCAGCCCCGGTGTTGGTCGGGAGCCATGACAGTAGGAGCTGGAGGGGACGAGGTGGCCACCATGCGCAGCCCAGTGGCCCTCCTTTTCCAGCTTGAGCCAGCGCTGTCAGGCGTAGAGCGTCTTGGATTCTGCAGGTGCCTGGGTGGGAACCCCTTGGTATTTCTCTCATCCTGGGGTCTTGTATCAGTCATCAGCTTGGAGTGGGAGCTTGGTAACAATTGGGAAACTTCAACACTCTGGGGGAGAGAAGTGCATTTTCAGAAGTGTAGAGACACTCAGGAGAAATGTGCTCAAATGTTGTTTGGACACAGTGGCTCATGCCTGTAATCCCAGTGACTTGGGAGGCTAAGGCAGGAGGATTACCTTTTAGGCCAAGAGTTGGAGACCAGCCTGGACAACATAGTGAGACCCACCTCCAAAATTTTCTTTTTAAAAACTAGCTGGGCATGGCCAGGCACCGTGGCTCACACCTGTAATCCCAGCACTTTGGGAGGCCAAGACAGGCAGACCACTTGAGGCCAGGAGGTCAAGACCAGCCTGGCCAACATGGTGAAACCCTGTTTCTACTAAAAATACAAAAACTAGCCAGGCGTGTTGGCGGGCACTTGTAATCCCAGCTACTCAAGAGGCTGAGGCACAAGAATCACTTGAACCTGGGAGGCGGAGGTTGCAATGAGCCGTGATCGCACCACTGCACTCCAGCCTGGGCAACAGAGCAAGACTCTGTCAAAAAAAAATAAAAAATTAGCTGGGCATGGTGGTGCATACCTGTAGTCCTAGCTACTTCAGAGGCTGAGGTGAGAGGATCACTGGAGCTCAGGAGTTTGAGGCTGTAGTGAGCGGTGGTTGCACCACTGCATTCCAGCCTGGGTGACAGAGCAAGACCTTTTCTCAAAAAAGAAAATATAGTTCAAAGTAGAATCAGACAGTGAGTAGCCCGCTAATAAAGACTGACCACCTCCCACCCTTCCAGAAGGGAATTGGGAGGGCAGTGACTACCCTGGCACATCCCATAGGCTTGTTGCCACTAGAGAGTTGCAGGCAGGTGGATCAAAGGAATGCTTCTAGGTAACTGGGTTCAGCCTTCCAAGAAGGCCTTTCGAGAGTTTCAGCAGAGAAGCCTCTTCATCATCCTCATATTCCTGCTGGCCAGCATGGTGCCTGAAACATAGTAGCCACTGGTGAGACGGGCGGATCACGAGGTCAGGAGATCGAGACCATCCTGGCTAACACAGTGAAACCCCGTCTCTACTAAAAATACAAAAACTTAGCCGGGCGAGGTGGCAGGCGCCTGTAGTCCCAGCTACTCGGGAGGCTGAGGCAGGAGAATGGCGTGAACCCGGGAGGCGGAGCTTGCAGTGAGCTGAGATCCGGCCACTGCACTCCAGCCTGGGTGACAGAGCAAGACTCCGTCTCAAAAAAAAAAAAAAAAAAGTATTTGCTGTTGACTGAAAGTACAAGACTTGAATCCAAACTCCTGCTAGGCCCTGCTGGCCTTGGGGAGGACAAGAGAACCACGGGCTGTTTCATGATTTACCCTGTTTTACCAAAGAATCGTGTGAGATCCTCTGAGAATATTCCTCGTCATGCCCCATGTCCGGAGCCCTTTTTTCTCTTCCCAGTGGAGGACAAGACTATGACCCCTCATTATAAATGGACCCCTCTGCCAATCATGTCCTCGAGCTGGTTACTTGGGCCAGCTTGTCAAAGAGCGTGTGGGGCAGCATCTGAAACGAGGCCAGGGTCAAGGTTGCCCCGCCGCAGGGCGGAGCTGGACCTGTGCCTCCTTCCATGCGTTGGAAGCCTTCCGTGGAAAGCCGAGTTCTTTGGGTTTCTTGTTTATTCTGAAGTTCCTCAAACTAGTTCCTCAATTTCAGAACCAGTCACCAGTGACTGCAATGAACTTGAATTCTCCTATGCAGGGAGCCTGAGCCTGTCTTTCTTCATCTTCTCCGAACACAGGTAGACGCTGCTTGAAGCCCACTCCCACCTCTGAAAACCAGATTTCCAAACCCAGAAAGGAGAGGCGGGTGGTTGTATTTCAGCAAGATTGACCGTAGCCTAGGGAACTTCTTGCTCAGAATCCACCCCGAAAGGTTAAATAAGGAGAGCTGTTTTTCACAACCAAAATG